GTGTAGAATGTCTACACATGTGTCTAACTCTTTCAGTTCTGAGCTCTTAGATTAATCTGTCTATAATTTGTAATCAATCTGTTCTGATAGACATTAGAGAAGTCTGAAAGTAAGGAGTATACTTTACTTATAGAAAGTTAGAGCACTAAATTAAGAACTGTCTGTAGAAACAATAGTACATTTGTTAGGTTATTAGAGTAATAATGAGTAACAAGTAGGATTTGTAGTAAGAAGCCTTTTCTACAAATCCAGAAGTCACCTTGAAACTTCTAGACTCTGACTATATACTCTAGGATTTTGTAGAGGCCTAACAGTGAATGTAGTACTGAAGGGCTATGACTCAGATTTTTTGATAGTCACTTTTGATTTAATAGACACTGTAGGATTAGAAGTAAATAAAACAGAAAAAGTAGAAAAAATAAATCAACAAAATTATTTATTAGAAAGAAAAAAGTTGAAAACAAAAGTAGATAGTTCTCCTATTTCTCCTGATTCTTTTGATTCTTCTCTTTACACTTCATCTGAGTCTAAATCTATACAATCTGACCTACTACTTCTATATTCTAAGATCTTAGAACATTCAGAACACTACTTAGCCCTATTTACTACTTAGTAGTTTGTCTATAGTATTAAGTAGGGATAGTCTCAGCTGAGTTTACAGCTGAGGACATGAGTCTGTCCTTGTTAAAAGAGAGAGGTTAATAAGGAAATGTTAGTGTATATACTTACTCTCTTAGACAATAAGGTTACACAAGCTGTACATTCCCTTCAGAACAAGTAGTAATTCATCTGAGAATGTTTCAGACACTAGCTCTAGGTCCCTGTCCTCTTAGCTCCCTTCTTAGGATTCCCCCAGATCTGAACAACAGCTCTAGTAGACAGTAGATACACTAGTTTATACATTAATAAGGCCTTTGTGTAGGAACACTACCTCCCTACTTAATGTGTTCTACTTCTAATCCTAGTATACAATACAGACAGAACCCTGAACCAGAATAGTTGGATTACTAAGTTTGTCCAACTATAGATGACTATTCAGGATCATAAGGAAAGTATTGAGTTTAGAGTTACTAACCTTAGAAAGACAGACATCTTTATTAGATTTGAATGGCTTAAGGCTCACAACCCTACTATTAACTAGTTAGAGTAGATACTTGTGTTTAATTAGTGTCCTGAGTCTTACAGTTACCTTGTACTACTGTTCTAAGTAGATACAGACACTTCCAATGTTACTGACAGTTCTAATGAAGGTAACTAGTTGTTCTTCTTCAACTAGGATAAATATGTAGATACATATTCTAGTTAAGGTAGAATAGAGTCAATCTGAAGGATGTCTAAGATGGAACCAGTTCAGAACCCTCTTAGAACAACTCTACTCTAGAACACACATAGACCCAGCCTGCTAGATTTTGTCTAAGAGTTCCCTAAAGTCTTTAGTAAAGAGGAATTTGACTAGCTTCCTAAACACTGTCTCTAAGACTATACAATTGAATTAACTAAGGGTTTTTAACCTAAGGATTATAAGGTCTACCTACTTAACAGAGACAAGCAGGAGGTGCTTAACAAGTTCCTTCAGGAAAATCTTTAGAACAGTTAGATCTGACCCTCAAAGTCCTCTATAGTCTCCCCTTTCTTCTTTATTAAAAAGAAAGATAGGAAGCTCTACCTAGTCTAGGATTATTATTGTCTTAATAAGGGTACTGTCAAAAACAAGTACCTGCTCCCCCTGATTCAGGAGCTCATTAATAAGACACATACATCTAGGGTTTTTACTAAGTTGGACATTCAATAAGGATACAATAATATTTGGATCTAAGACAGAGATGAATAGAAGGCTATATTCTAAACTAATTGTAGATTGTACAAACCAACTATAATGTTCTTCAGACTAACCAACTTGCTTGTAATGTTCTAGTCATTCATGAATTACATTCTTACAGATCTGATTGACTCAGAGTATGTTAGTGTGTATCTGGACAATATTCTGATCTTTACTCAGACAGTTAAGTACTATTACTAACTAATCTGAGTAGTTCTACAATAGCTCTAAGATAATAAACTGTTCCTCTAAGAAGTAAAGTACTCTTTTACACAGGAGTCAGTAGATTATCTAAGCTTTGTAATTAGTGGAGGAGAGATCTGTATGGATCTAGCAAAGGTAACTGTAGTTTGGAACTGGTTACAACCTTAGAACCTGAAACAGGTCTAAGTGTTCCTTAGGTTTGTAAACTACTACTAATGCTTCATTTGAGGCTTTAGTACTATTGCCTGGCCCCTTCACAATCTTACTAGCAAAGATACTTCTTAGTAATAGGATAATCAGTAGTAGTCTGTGTTTGAGTCTCTCAAGTAAGCTATTATTAGTAAGCCTGTATTAGTAGTTCTAACAGTTGTGAACAAGTTCTAAGTCAAAGTCAACTCTTCCAACTTTGTAAATAGAGTAGTACTGTTCTAGTTTATTGACAGAAAGTAGTGTCTGATAGTGTTCTGATTAGAATCCCTCTCTGTAACAGAACAGAACTACTCTATCTATAATAAGGAACTCCTTACAATTGTCTGTTCCTTAGAGGAGTAGTATTAATATCTCTTTAGTACTGTACAGAAGTTTAAGATTTAGAGTAATCACCTTAATCTCTAGTACTTCTAAACACCTTAGAAGCTCAACTACTACTAAGCCTGCTAGATGATAGAACTGTAGGACTATGACTTTGTACTAACCTACAAACTCAGAATACAAATGACAAAAGCTAATTTACTCTCAAGACAAGTAGGTCACAAAAGGGGGGAGAATAATAATGAAAATCTTGTTCTCCTAGACAATTCCCATTTTGCATCCAAGACAATCCAAGAGATCCAACTCAAATCCAAGAATGTTGACTTTATTACTTATATATAGTAAGCTCTAAGACACACACACAACTAGGTTGTAGTAAAGTAGTTAGAGAAGTAGGCTAGGGATTAGGAGGAGGATAAGGATAGACAGGTTTACTAGGAAGGCCAACTGTACATTCTAAAGGATCAGAAGCTGTAGGAGAACATTGTCTGAGCTTATTACAACAATCTGACTGTAAGACATTCAGACTAACACAAAACACAGGAACTCATTACTTGGAACTACTAGTAGTCTAGAATACAGAGGGAAATCCTAAAGTATGTAACTAGTTACAATATGTGCTAACAGACTAAGGCCTACCAGACAAGGGTTTGGGCTCCCCTACATTTGTATTAGATCTTAGATCACTCTTAGGAAAAAGTCTTAGTAGACCTGATTAGTGAGCTACCTAAGTCTCAGGGTTACAATACTATCTGTATAATTGTTGACTGATTCTCTAAGTAAGTCTATATGGTTCTAACCTGAACAGAACTCACTTCTAAAAGTATAGTGTACATTTATTAGGATCACATCTTCTGGTTGTACAGACTCCCTCAGAAGCTCATTCATGATTGTAGACTGTAATTTGAGTCAAAATTCATACAGAACTTGTATACACTTCTTAGAATTCAAGGGAACCCTTCTACTGTCTATCATTTACAGACTGACAGTCAAACTGAGTGAGTCAATCAGGAGATCAAGCTCTACCTCTGAATGTTCATTAATTATTAGTAATTAGATTGGTCTGAATAGTTAGCTCTGACAGAATTCATACACAATAACTAGCAACACTCTATAACAGGACAGTCCCTGTTCTTCCTCAATTATAAGAGACATTCATACTAAGGGACAGTTCCAAACTAGAACAGTAGTTCTGAATCTGTAACAGACTTTGTAGAATGGATGTACAGAACTAGGGAGGATGTATGAGCTCTTTTAGAAAAGGTAGTACAGGTTATAAAGTAGAACTATGATTAGAAGAGGTCTGTAGTCAAGGATTACCAGTCTAGTAACAAAGTTATACTAGAAGCTACTAACCTGACTACAGATTGTCTAATGAAGAAGTTGGACAACAAGCACTTTAGACCCTTTGTTATTAAAAAGAAGGTTAGTACCTCTGTCTACAAACTCTAACTTCCAGCAACATAGAAGTGTATACACCTAGTGTTTAACAAGGTTCTACTGTCTTAGTACTATAATCCAAGTTTTCCTTTATAACAAAGACTCCTACTACCTCTACTAGAACTCATTAGTTCTGAACTAGAATATAAAGTAGAGTATGTAGTAGATACTAAGCTAGTATATAGAAAGCTCAAGTTCCTTATTTACTAGAAAGGATACCCAGTTGAAGAACACACTTAGGAACCTACTAAGAATCTCACCCATACTACTAAGGTAATCTAAGACTTCTATTAACTTTATCCAGGTGCTCTGTATCAACTCTACCTCACAGATTTCTAAACCCTACTATTCTGACCTATACTCAAGCTGTTAACCAAGCCTAATGTTTACTAATCAGGACAATTGGTTTTAGAGAGAGGGTAATGTTATAGTTCTCTACTCTTATACCTTCAGTTCTAAGGGTTCCACACTCTTCTGTACTGGAACTCAGGACTTCTGTCCCTTAAGAGTACTGTCTATAAACTATATATGTACTAACTCTTACTACTACCCTTCCTTACTTCATCATTCTATTCCTTTAACCACCCCTTCATTCTTTGTTCATTCTATAGTCTCTTACCCTTTGTCTATCCCTTCATTCTTTATACCTTTATCTTTGACATTCCTTTCTTTCATTCTTTATAGCTTATCATTCTTAAGTAGCTTATACTCTCTGAGTACTCTTGTGTAGTTTAGTATATATAGGTGTACAAGATCAGACTAGTCCTGTAGTCTTAATCTTGTCTACTCTAGGTAGTCCTGTACTCTTAGGCTCACTCTATATACTCTACTCTTGTCTCACTCTCTCTCTCTGCCTGTTCTGTAAGTTCCAACTATGTTCTAGTACTTGTGTTCTGTATTTCTGTTGTGTAGGATAGTTGTAGCTTGGGTCCCCTTACTAAGCCTTCAGGTCCCCTCTACACTGTTACTAACAGTAAGGAGGATACCCTAATAGTACAACATTGTGTTAAACTGTTACTTCTAACAGTTCAAACAAATAATGTGAGTTGTAACTATTAACAATAAGAACTTGAGTGTGTCTATATGCTTTCTCTCTTATTTTAGGCTCAAAATGATTTGTGAACCAATCTAGTACTATTTCACAGTCTGTCCAACCATTTGGAGAGCTGGTGAACCTGTTGCTCTTGTTAAGTAAGAGCTTATGAAGAAGTATAAGTATGTACCTCACATTAGCTATATTGTTCTCTGTCCATTTGGACCATACACTATAGCCTTTAAAGATAGTAACAGACTTAGTGTATGTTCCATCTGTACAGATAGTAACAATAGTAGTAATGTTTTCTTGGTTTCTACCTCTACTTTTATGCTGAATCTTCTTCCCTCTAGCTCTAATAACTTGTTTAACAGTATTATTAGTAAGTGAGAAACCAGTTTTGTCTATAGTGTATATTTGCCCAGGTAAGACTCTCTTCTTAACCACTTCCTCCTCCAGAATGTCAAACCATTTACTAACAGCTGTTAGATTTAGGCCATTTGCTTGTTGTGTATTAAGATGAGAACTCTAGTAAGTTTTTAGCTTAGTATAATGATGCTCCAGGAATCTCTGAACAAATGTAGGTCCTACAGGCTTGTAACTTGTACTATATCATGCCTCAAGGAGTTGATTAGCTGCCCTTTCAATGTTATTATGACTGAATGGGCAGCTTCAATTAGAAGAGATCCAAATAAGTTCTGTAAGTGCCTGATTGTCCTCCTTCATTAAACAGCATTTTGAAGTATTAAACTCTAGGATAGACTTCATTCCAGCTGCCCTATTCCTTAATGTTCCAACTGTAACCCCTTTAAACATACTAGCCACTCCTCTTAGTCCTAGACACTCTCTCCAGGGCTTTTTTTGGTCCAACTGATAAGCCTCAACTGCTTGACCCATATTCCTCTCCCTTTCCTCCAATTCCTCCCTTTTTTTTAGAGATTTAGACTTAGCATACTTGACCATAGTGTACTAAGCAGAATAGAGAGTGAGCAAGTAGAAAAAAAGAGTAAAAAAACACTAATTTATTAGCAAGGGTATGGCAAATGCTCTGACACGATTCTCACACAAAGGTTTGGCAAATTACATTATTGTGTTGATCATTTCTCTCTCTGTCACGCTTTCTTGACTTTTCTTAATGTTTACTTTTAATAAATTGTACAACTCAGTGTATTAAAATAAAAACTGCAGAATTACATATTTTGGATACTAATAATCATATATGCAAAGTTTCAACTTGATTGGATTAATAGAAATATCACCAGAAAATTTGCAAAGTTTACTACAGGACAATTTTGCTAAATTCTTTAACTGTCTGATTTTTCTTAATTTTATTTCTTGCTCAATTTCTCTCAAATCTTATATATACATTCGGGTCATATAGTAATACCTTGTATTAAATTTTCATAAAATAATATTAAGATTTGAGTAAGATATTACAGTCTGTTTAAAGGAACGGTTGTGTTTAAAGGAGCGGTTTTTGACTGTATGTACCACGGTTGCAGTCGTTTTTTAAAGATAGGTGACCAAGATTGCTGACATAGATCGTTCGCTCTTCCTGATGACCTTTTTGTAAAAGGATGAAGTGGAAGCATAAGAAATTCCTGTTGCAGATAGACTTCCAGGCTATCGAATTAAACGGTATTACTGTCAGGGTATATTGCAGCTTGAAAGTTGTTTGCAAGTTGCAATGAATGCGCTTGTTCAGCGCAAGGTCACTCGTAAATATGCCTATGTCATGGACGGAGAGTTAACCGCCGCACTTCCTTGCTACAGTTTCATGGCGGCATCGGAGCGGAGCGGCAAACCAAAGGTTTGGACGTAACCAACATCCGTGTCGGAAAGACGTTCCGCGCCATTACATGTTGAAACCGCCTAGCCGTAATAAAGGTATGCGACGAAGATGGCAAAATAATCGAGCGGATCGTTAGGGAAATATCTAAGAAGCTGGCAAGCGTGCGGAGGTGCTCAGAGTGTCGGAACAGGAGAAATGCATGCTTTTGACCTTCAACAGGAAGGGCATTGTGGGTCCACTCCTACTCATTATTTCCTCTTTCGTTCTCGCATCTTGCAATCTTATCTCGAGTAGATCTGAATTTTCGCACACACACAGTGGTCTGTGATACACCAGTTTACGGCAGCTGCTTCTTGCAAGAGGTCGGGGATAAGTGCGCCGTAGTGCACGATGCTACCTTCAGCATCTATTATATATAACCCAAGTCAGCAAGGAGCCAACTATGTGCGTTTCGAGCTATAGAGCTAGGCTCGTCGATACGCGTTTCATTTCGCCTGCAGTAGGCGGACTGGAAAGTCGTGACTCCGTCGAAAGAGTTGAAAGTGGTGAAAGTGGAATCTATTTTATTTTATTTTATTGCATTTTCACGGCAGGAACCCTGTTCTGTCCAGAATCAGGATATGTTTTTACTCAACATTTTGGACTAACGGGTGGGACTGCCCCTAGCAAAGGGAAATGTCGATAACCTAAGAAGCCGAATGCGGCAATAATGATCTACACAAAACACCGGGAATCGGACATGACATTGACACCCCTTGCGCCGCAACGCAGCCTTTGAACTTTTCAGGGGTCCTTTACTAGCCTGCTTCGAATTGTTTTCTAGTGCAAGGTCGATTAATCACGAAATAAGAGATGCAGATTGCCAGACGGGATTCCTCAAGAACAAGCGTGTCACGGAGGCCGGACGACTCGGACTGCAATAAAATCAAGATTTATTCATAAGCTCAAGGCATACAGAGACGTACGCAAATTTCCCGTGCCACAATGAGGAGACAAAGGGACGTCCTTATTTATACATGAATTTGTAAACGTATCTCAAGTTAGATCTTATCCTGTTGCCTGCCACTTGGTCGGTTGTCAAATCGCCCAATGCCGATACACAACAACTGAATTATTTTTTCTCTTTATGTTACCAGCGGCGGTACACTGGTGCGATCTAATGCCGTAAGCATTTGCTCAACTGGTTGTCGTTTGGCCTTGCTCACTCGATTTATTTATTCTGATAAAGAATTACAAGTTTACCGAGGAGCGCTGGCTTGCCGCGCGGAAAGAAATAATATGCGTCCAGCGTCATCTTTACAGCATAGCATATACTAAATATGTTACATTGCCCAAAAAAGAACAAGCAAACCGGATTCAATATATGGGAAGTTTTGAGAAGAAGATGGGAGACATGGATCGACTTGATTAGCGTTAGGCCCCTGCCCCTGGCCGTGGAACACCGCCGAAGCCTCGGATTTTTCGTTTTCCTCGTTCTCCGCCTCAAATACTCTGGCAGTCTGGCCGCAGCACATGGGCCGAGTATCGCAGTAACAAGTTGCCATCTTTCATAAATAGTTGATCCGTTCATTACCTCGAGTGAAGAAGACTCCCAAGACGTCCGGATCGGGTGTAAATTTGCAGCACTTCAGTCCTGCAATTCGACTAGAATGGCCCTGAATTGTGCTGAAATCTATGTATACGCCAATCTGTTGGTGAAATTTGTCCTTGATAGTCACTACCGCTACACCCCACGCCCAGATCTCTTGGATTTCTCGACGCTATGCGCTTCCGCCGGTCTTCGCGACAAGAGAAACCACCTTCGTGACGCTTCGCACTAATCAATCGGCTACCCCGACATTCGTAAAGGGACCCCCGACATGTTACGTTTGGTATAAAAGCAACTCCAATGGGTTGGATCGTCAAATCTCCAATGCCCATCCAATTATTCCACGTTCCAGTCCCATTCTCCGTCTCTTTGCCTCTCACGAGTTCAATGCAAGCGCTTGGTGCACTTCGAAATCTGCCTTCGGAACTTCTATATCATCTCTGGACACTCTTCTTGTTTACAAAATCGGACATAAAGACCACCGTTATCCCTATTGTACGTCCTCGCCATTGCTCCTGGACAATTAACAAATATTCAAGGGTGTACAACTCGTGTCCAGACATCACTCGCTGTTGCGTCAGCACCGCTTGCTACAACTAGACATCTTCCTCATGTTGTCTTTTGGATTTGGTTCCATGTTCTCCAGTTCGACGTTTCAAATCAGACGCTCAAGCCAGAGGAAGATGAATTTAATAAACGCGATCGCCCTCTACCCGCCAAGCGGATTATGTGGAAGAATGCCCTGAGGCTGCGCTGGGCGCTTGTTCCTGCATGTTGGACACTTTCGGCATGTTACAGTCTGGAGACTGTGTACGCTAGCATCGCATTGTGCTTGCTCACATTTATCTACGATGAAATGGGATTCGCTGCTGGCCATTGGCTCGGCCGGAACTTTGTCAATGCACTCGGTTTTATGTCTTTCGAGGTGGGGGCATGCCTCGTTGCAGGTGCAGTATTATTTACCTATGTTTCTCACCCTTTATTGGTCTAAATTAATGCGTCGTTTCTTCATAGGCGGGAATCGGCATAGAATGGATAATATCAGCGTGCTTTCCGTACTCTGTAGTGCAGGGATTTTCGCGACGACCATTCAGGCCCAAGACTTCAAAGATACGGAGGGCGACCGACTCGTTGGACGTAAAACACTCCCGATTGTTGCTCCCACAGTTGCACGCCCAACCCTCCTTGCGGCCCTGCTCATTTGGACGGGTGCGCTTAGTATGATATGGAAACTTGCGCCAATGCCCGCAATACTATTCCATATCTTGGCTGTAGCCGTGGGAGTGCGATTCATTGTATTGAACAGCATCAAGGCCGATCAGAGAAGTTTTTATCTTTATAATGTTGGTGGTATTAACTTTAGTGTCTCTGAGGATTAGTACTGATGGTTGGTATTGCATGAAACAGGTATGGCTGTCCGTCGCGCATGTCCTTCCCGCTTATTTCCGCTTTGTAGCGTCAGCATCGGCGCCCTAATACGACTAATACGAACGTCATCACCACTTTTTCAGCAACGGTCAATTCGACCCAAGCGTGAGACTCTTCGCAATGCATTTGCTTTCATGTTTGTGGCCGCTGTACCTGCTCTAAGCTTTCTTGGTTAATCCAGACCGCACTGCATCACTATTAATCAATTGATTAGAGTAAAGCACATATATTTACCTCACCTCGGACTTCGACGCAATTACATTATGCATCCCACCGTTGGACTGCTAAATCACACGCACACTCCTTTATAATGTCAACAATCTATCGATTTGTGTTGATTCATCCGCTACCGCTTCTTTGCTATCCTTCGCTTCGTCGTTGATAGATGACATTCAAATCTACATCCTATCGTTCCTTTTACCCGCGAGTCTAATACTAAGTGGGCAGTGCCTTCAATGTAGACGTGCTATTCTTATGTGCTACCATTGTATAACACCAATTAGCAATACAATAAAATTTCCAACGAATGCATCAATCGGAAAATATCTGAGTATTATTAGCAGATGATAATGGATCGATGCAAGTTCTGATTCCAGCGGATAATGCAATACTGGTTGGTAAACAGCGCACGAATATGGAAGTATTGCGAAAACCTTTCCGCCTCTTCTGTCCGTGTCGCGGTGCCAAGGTGGAATTTGCTCCAGAAGGTTCCGAGATGATGAAACGACAAAGGAAAATTTCGCCGTGCTTTACGGACCGAACTTCTGCGGCTACCAAAAGTTGAGCAGTGTACCTTGTGTAGGTCTTAGACACTTCTCCAATAAACAAGTCATTAACCATGTTCCCGGATATTCTACAGTTATTAGTAAGGACGACTGTCACAAAGCACTACATACGTAAAAGCACTTGGGTTGATTGCGGCGGTCAGTCGTATCTACGCAGACTGAGGCCAATATAGACTTGTCATCCAGATTAATTTGTGATTGCCTGTGGGCGAGAGTTTTTTTTGGCATGTTTGCAGCATGTTAGTAGAACTCACGTCAGCCCTTATGACCTAGAGATGGACAGATAAACCTGGTAATCAGAGGTAGAGATAAGGAGCTGACATTGCATACGGTACATGATACACTATTACTCATACCCAGTCATAGGCTCTGAGACCTTCTAGCTGTATATTCTAAATGGGCAGAGTTCACATGACCACATGCTAAAGTGCAACGCACATAAGGTGCTTCCATACATACTTCTATTCTAATTTCTACACAGTCCACGAGAAAGCTGTACGTCATTAGAATGCACACTCTACCCCAACATGCATTGAAGTGAATGGAATATATGCCCTTACTGAGAATCTCTCCTGCCACAGCTTGGAAGTCAGCAAATCAAAAGTGCATGTAAAGTAAACTATTCACCAAAGAGAGACAAGTCACAAGAGAACACTCTGATCTGTTACCAAGAATAGTCCCTGATACTACTGTAATGAATCGTATTCATGAAGAGAACCATCCCCATAAGATAGACTAATCAAAAAGGAATGTAGTATACTTTTATTTGTTGCCAAACCCTGATCAATTGACACGGGAGTAACCTAGGACAATTGGAACAGTAAAGTAATCTCTTCTAGTAGGGCAACAGTATTTGTTGACAGTATGAGCAGTTCTACTAGACCTTACATGAAACATATCCTTATCATAACATCAGGTATCCCTTTTCTTTGATATTAATAGATTTCCAACATTACTAATAGAAGCGAGATACAATGCCCCAAAGTGTAGTAAAGTGTGCATACTCTATACTAAATTAGGAAGAAGGGAAGAGTCGCTCCTCTGTAAGGCCACTACACCACCTTGGAAGTTAATACTATACAAGTATAGTCTTGGCTGTTACTTTCTTGTAAGTGCTCCTTCTCATTATTAGTAGTATCCAGATTCCACACTCACGACCTTACGTCAAGTAGGTCATCGGATAAACATACATGTGTACGTACTGCTTTTTCACACGAAATCTCTATCTTTCTATAATATATAAGCACTCTTCAATGTGCAATAGAGAACATGAAACAACCCAGCAAACCTAACGCAGAGCATATCTACTCCTATACTTCAGTACTTAAACCTTCAGCTCTCAACATGCTACACACATTAAAGCAGATATTTTCTGGGCTATTGTATCATACCTGGACAGTATTCCTGTTTACGAAGTCAAACTTCAAAGATGCTGTCATGCCCCTCGTACGTCAGCATTTTATTTACTCTGTCAAACGTTGGTAGAAAGCTCACATACCAGTAGACTGCACTCGGTATCTTTTCTGATCCACCAGCCACGTTCACACATGTGTTGCACACCGCTTTCTGGAGTTGGTTCCTTACCTTCCAACACAACATTGCTAATCAAATTCTTCACCCCGAGGAGGACGAACATAACAAACCATTTCGGCCCATTCCTGCAAAGCGCATCACGCTGAAGAACGCACGCATCCTTCGTTGGGTCCTCGTACCTGCGTGCCTTGCGCTCTCCGCATATTATAGCGTGGAGGTGCTTTACCAGTGCATCCCTATATGCATCCTCTTCTTCGCCTACAACGACTTGGACCTTAATAACCATTGGTTTCTGCGAAACGCTATACTTGCAGCAGAGCAGTGGTTCTTTGGGATTGGTGTTTGTCTCATTGCTGGTTAGACTTCTCCTTGATTTGCTCCCCGATGTTATTACTGATAGCTCAATGAACAAGGTACCAACCGCCACGAATTGGACAACGTTAGCAAACTGTCCTCGTTCCTCAGTATGTTGATGCTTGCGACTACATTCCACGCGCAGGATTTCAGAGATACGGTCGGGGACAAACTTGTCGGACGCAAGACAATCCCTATCGTTTGGCCCAGAGCCTCTCGCCCTACACTTCTGCTCATCCTGCTCGCCTGGTCCTCTGCGTTGTGCGTGATATGGAAGGTTGCATTGATCCCTGCTTTGGCGTATCATTTGCTGGCTTTGGCTGTTGGATGCGCGTACTTGACGTTCCCAAGCAGTAAAGCGGACGATTGGAGTTACTTTTTGTACAACGTGAGTGGGTATCTTAGAACGATATCACGCTTGATTTTAACCATGCATGGGACAGGTTTGGTTGTCAGTCGGATATGCAGGCCCTGCATACTACCGCCTCGTGGCGGCCAAGCAAGCTCCATTTGCATACGAGTAATCAGTATGCGACAAGTCACGGAATAGCCGGTTCAAACTCGTTTCAAGCTTTTCTAGAGAAGAAATAGCGTGCTTCACTCTGTTGATTCAATCGCTAAGATTTGTGCTTCAGATTCGTCGTTCTCCAACTCCGTCGAATGTTCGTTTAGATCTAAAGTCTTAAAAAGTATAGATGTATGTGAAAATCTGCAACATATTTAAATAGAATCGATCGGTACAGTGTACATGTCTATAGCTTTTGAAAGATGCATATGTATGCTGAGGAACTCATGTTTTCATTGTACAAGAGGAGCGTGTTGAAGAGCACTTCCAGTCTAAATTGGTAAGAAACGGTATCTGACTGCGTACTCTTAGATCATTACATGTATCCCGTCTTTGTGTCTATTTCGACACAAACGAGTTCACGACTGCAATCCAAGGCAAATGTAGTGATTCGCGTTCAGTCTATCTATCGTTATACAAGGCGCGAGTTTCGCACACACTACAAACACTCCACCTGTACACGTGGATTTGGGGGGCGGTGTGTGGGAGAGGGGGGGAGGACGATAAAATCGAAGGAGGTCAAAAGATCGTCGCAAGTGCATGGTCACTCTCATCACTCCCATCATACCCGCCCAAACCTCTCATATTTGCGCCAGGCCCATTCTTCCCGAACGTAAAACCAACCCACACGCCCCTACCGAACTCGACTTCCTTCTCTTTGACTTTATCAATGTTTCGCTGCTTCGCTTGAACTTCGGCATACTTGGCCATGTCTTCCGCGGAAGTGAAGTCATCGTAATAGCCCGTATCGATCTCTGAGTCGAGGGCAGGGACGAATGGTGCCTTCTGTGCACGCAAGTCTTCCCAGCGGACCCCTTTAAAGAATGGATGCTGCTGTACCTGGTCCAAAGAAGAATAACGTACGCTAGCATGAGCGATAAGCCTAATCATGGAAGACTCGTCAGATATGCTGCAAGTTTCGTTGGGGAAAGGAAGGGGAAGACCTTGTGACCGCATCCCAAGCGATATCCGTCAGGTTGAATATTAGATCTTCAGGTCGGTCATACTCGGGCCGACGCAGAACTTTGGTCCAATTCTTCAGGTTCGTCCATGTCTCTTCTGGTGTACCGCCACTAAAAGGTGGGAAGCCAGCCAGAAATTCGAAGAGGATGCACCCCAACGACCAATAGTCCACGCTGTAAGAGTATGGTTTGGCACGAAGGACCTCTGGTGCCATATAATCGGGCGAACCAACTACCGAATCTGCATATCGAGGATCCTCGCCCCGAATCGACCTGTATAGAGACCGTCTTTCCAGAGTTGATCGATGGACGATGGGGTTATCTTTGACTCTATCGAGCTGGATATATGCGTCGATATGCTGCAGTTACAATAAAATCACAGAGGCATAGACTCACTTTCCCTTTCAGCGAATGTATTATCTTCGGATTCAGCGCTCCTGTCGCGAGTCCGAAGTCTGTGAGCTTGACGTGACCCGTACCATCAACCAAAAAATTCTGTGATGCACATTTTAAAACGCTTCCTCTTAATGATGTTTCAGAACATACCTCCGGTTTTAGATCTCTATGAATATATCCAAGACGGTGGAGCTCATTAACGGCAGTAAACATTTCGGTGATGTAGAATCGAGCATGTTCCTCTTTTAGCACACCGGAGTTATTCAATAGTGTCCGAAAGTCGCCTCCAGGTACGTATTCCATGGCTAGATAGACGAACTCCGGATCCTGGAATGCATAGAGCAGTCGTACAAGCCATGCTGTTTTGGTGGCAGTAAGGATGTCGCGCTCCACTAGAACATGCCGAATCTGGGGAACTCGAGCAGTTAGTGTAGTATTCAAACGGAATAGAGAATTACGTCATACTTCATCCATCTTGAATAAAGTACGTTTCCTCATCTTCTTCAGGGCACATACTTCTCCAGAATCCTGTCAAAGGGAGTTCGGTCATAATACGGTGATTATCCGAAGGCACATATGCATACTTGTTTTCTTGCCAAATAGACTTCACCATAACCTCCCTGACCTACCTGGGCAATAATATGGAACTGGTCAACCTTAAGTTTTGTTCGTCGACGCCTCAATAGAACACGTTCTCTTCCACAGTAAGACTTGAACTCTTTGGTATATTCCGAAGATGGTGGCACGACATTCCGAGATCGGGTATCTGAGTCGAATCTAGCACGACGTTCTTTACGTGCAGCGATGTATCCGAGAGCTGAGAAATAATAATCAAGGAAATCTAGGGCGAAGTGCAGTTAGGAGAAACATAGGAGAACGCGTAACTATGAACGACGTACAGAGTTGAGCAACGGTAGCTTTTCTCTTCACTTCAGGAGACTCGAGTAGTTCGCGCTCCCAGAGCTGCAAACCACCCTTTTTAATCGTCGTCCCCGGCTTTAGTGTTTCCATGTGCACGTCCTTGATGCTCAAGCCCTTCAAGTTGGCTGTGGCCATGCGTATGTCTGGCGGGTCATCTTGAGAATTCTTCACAACGGGCAGCCCGTTAGGAATAAGATCTGAAGGAGGCATCTAAGGAGTGGCTGTTCCAGGTATTGGCTTCGAGGGCTCGTGAGTGAAGGTTTCAGAGCCTCGGTGCGTGTACAGTGCATGCACGCGTCCAACCGTCGCGTCCTGGTTGCATGGCACGTGACTGATTGACTATATGCACCATTCATGCAGGATGAGGCTTGACCAGTTTAATTAATTCAACAACGCTCGAAAGCCCCGTGAAAACCATAGGGAAAATGGATATAATAACAGGGAATACAATGACAAACCCTTTGGTCTACTCTGCCAGCCATATCTTCTCAATTACTGAATGGATCATCGCTCTTTCCGTATCACTCATCTTTCCGACACCTCTCGGACCCAGCCCACTCTCCGGACTCGTTGCACCTGAACAACGTATCATCAGGCGTGAAAGTATGATATCCGCTTTCTCTCGTACAGGACCAGGTGTCGAGCCCTTAGCTCTAGTTGCTGTCGTAGTTGAGAACACGTCCTGAGCGATCGCGCATAAATACCATAGAGCGTTCTTGCGTGCCAGCAGGTGTATGCGGTCCTTGCGAGAAAGCTTCGCCACCAGCTGCGTTTTGGACTCCTCAGTTGACACGGTAGCAGCAGAGATTATGAAGGGCGAGACTTCGATAGTCAAAGTTGTACCATCTGGGATGAAAAGACGCTCGATTTCGGAGATGAGACTAGCTTTCATCAAGTCTAAGAGTTGAAGCGTCTCGTCATGCTTGCTCGCGGAAAGGAACGCGAGTATATCCCTTAAGATTGCGAGGAGACCTTGTAAAGTCGTCCCACACATCATCCCATCAGCTCCAGAGGTATCAGAGCCTGCACCTCGTCTTCGCTTTCCTCTACCAGTGCTAAGAATAGGCAGGAGCGCATTTTCGGATAGACGACTGAATGACTTGATGATAGGAACGACAATGTCGCAAGCTAGCACCGTAAAGAATTTGTCCAGGTTTACTTTCAAGGCAGCCGAGCCCGGACGCTTCTTTCCAGTATTTGGTTTCAAAGACGATAGAAGAATCATAGCCCGTGATAAAGTCGAGCAGAGAATCGTATTGAAGCCGTTCACGAAGGTAAGAGTGATCTTTGTGCTTCCCTGTGGATCAAAAGCAGTCTGCAAAGAACTAGCGAGCGCTTGGAGAACACTGGTAGCCGACAGAACCAGTTGCCTGTGCATTGAATGACTAGACTTCGAACTGATTGAAGACGATAGCTGGAATAACCTGTGATACGAATCATATAGGTTTAATGGGCTGCTGAGCTCCGGGGCAGTCACTACAAAATGATAATAAAACCAGTGACCTTTCGACACTGTAACGGATTTTACCTGTTCTCAAGTCCTCAGAGGCACCGAAACTTCGTGAAGAGGTGGCACTCGTATCAGAAGCTATGCGAGACTCGACGGCCGGATTGAGTTTCTTTTTCTTCTTCGCTTTGCTTGCGTTTGATTCCGGTCGAGAAAGCTCTCGTAAGGCATTAAGTTCTGTGTAATCATTAGCATATAAAGCGTCAGCCGCATGGCTTGTCTCACCAGCAAGCTCCTCGTTATACTTCCTCTTCAATTCGTTCACCTCCTCTTCGAGTTTCAACGCCCTATCTCGCCAAGATCCGTTCTCATTCCCTTCGTTCCTGTTTCCTGATAGTGGAAATTGATCTCGAAGGTCTAGCACATACGCTTCAAATTGAAAGCAGGAAATCTTAGCAAGATGCCGGTACCAGGCAACAGAGAGAAAGGTTATTCCTTGTACCAGCTATAGAGACGTCCTTTGGCTTGTGTTTGAGAGCTGTGAGAGCCTCGCGTGGTGCAAAGGAGTATCGAGGTTAGTTTTAGAGGGAAGCAAGAACGAGGATACCATACATACTATGAGGATACGGATTCGCTTAGCGTCATTGATATTGACGGTCATGCTCTGGGTGCATGTGGATGTGGACGATGAACAAGATACATCACACAGTATTACTATTTGCAACAAATAAGTAAGTCAAGTGACCGCATACAGTCAACACACCTGCTACAAGTCCTCGTAATTAAATATCTAGACAAATTAATGTTGTTACTCCTAAATTCCATCGAGCCAATGGAAACAAAAAAGTACAATCTATCCATCAATGAGACATCTACAATCTAGAGGAGTCTAGGGTCTACTTAAGCCCGACATCTATGTCTAGATGATAATGGTAGCAATCTACAAAGAAGACAGGAAAATTGCCCAGCAATATCAAAACTTCATGTGCGTAGGCGTTGCACTAGCAGGGATATCATCTCTATAAAACGCTCCATAAACACCATGTTCCTTCTTCTTAATCGTCATCGGGAACTTCTTCAGCGGACTCGCGTCGAAGCCTCCTTCTCGCATGACTTTGGCAAGCTCTCCCGCGAGAGCTTTCTCGTGATTATCCCCTGTGAAGAACGTGATTGACTTGCCACTTCGGCCTCCTCGTCCTATCACAGATAACCTCTCATTAGCGATATAAAGCAGTAAGTGATAGAAGGAGGAGATCCTTACCAGTCCTCCCAATCCGGTGCACATAATCCTCAACAGTCAACGGAAAACTATAATTCAACACAAGCCCAACACTCGGTATATCCAATCCACGCGCTGCGACGTCTGTAGCAACTAATATCTGCGTCTCACCCTTTTTGAAGTTCTCCAGAGCAGAGATTCGAGCGGATTGCGAGAGGTCGCCGTGGATACTGCTTACGCTGAACTTGTGTCGGAGGAGAGTCTGTTCGACGCGGGTTGCTTCTTTTTTATAGAGTACGAAGACGAGGATGCGGGTGTCGTCTTGAGGTTGAGAATGGGATTGGGTGTTAGAGCGGCCGTTTTGAGGTTTGAGTTTTTGGAGATGGGAAAGGAGGCGGGAGCTGTGAAACAATCAAAGGAGTTAAGAAATAAGATGCATAGTCTAAAGAAGGAAGAAACGTGAACGATTTACTTACTCTTTTTCGTATTGATCGTCGAAAACCTCCACAACTACAAAGGTAAAAAAATCACTCAGCGTCCAAGTATCGTTAACAATTTATCCCGAGTGTAACTGACCTTGCTCAACTCTGCGATTCGCAGTAAGGTCATCGCTCCCAACGGTTATGCGCACAGGGTTACGTTGGAAAGTCGATGCTAGTCTCCTCACTGCATCAGGCCAAGTGGCACTAACTAGAATGCGAATTTGTAAGTCATAATACACAACGATTTTTTTGAAGTGGGGGGAATCGAGTTGGACATACACATGAGCGTTTGTCTTTGTTTAGAGGGCGCGCATTGCGCGATAATTGCACGGATATCATTCTCGAATCCTTTATCGAGCATGCGATCCGCTTCGTCGAGAACGAGATAAGTGACCCTACATCGAAAAAGTTAGGCAAATAATCAGAATAGTGGTGAGGGGAAGGAACCAAACCCGTCAAGTCTGGAATCAACTTACCCACTCAAGTCACACGCCCCTTCATTAACCAAATCCAATATCCGCCCGGGAGTTCCTACAACCATAGCTGCGCCCACTTGCGACAAGGCTCGACGCTGAGGATCTTTATCCACACCTCCATAAACAGCAACACTCGTCAACCCAAATGGTTTTCCGAGTTCCGTGAACGTCTCGTGTGTTTGGAGAGCTAGCTCACGGGTTGGTGCGACTACAAGGACTTGAGCCTGAGATTTCTTGTTGCCATGTTTTGATTTTGACTTTTTGGAGGACGGGGGAAGGTCGTTCTGGTGTCTCGCCATGTGAGCGATGGCGGGTACGCCGAATGCGAGGGTCTTTCCACTACACAATTGATTGCATGAATTAGATTATCACGGTAGGAAATTCTGTTTTGGGCAGAGCTCACCTCCCAGTCTCAGCGATCCCTACTACATCTCTTCCGTCTAGACTAGCTGGCCATGAGCAAGCTTGGATAGGTGTAGGTTCTTTGAAAGAATCGAATGCATTGTGCAGGGGCTCGGGCAGATGAGGTAGAAGAGACGAAAAGGACAAAATTGGGGTTAAGTTGCTAGGAAGGGAGCCAGAACCACAATCAATGGTGACACCGTGTTTCGCCAGATACTCTGATACCTCTGCGCAGGAAACGGAGGTGCTTGACCTCGACGACGTGGCATCTGTTGTAGTACTAGTACGGTGAGCCTCTTGTTGATCTCTCCTCTTTTTCTTCTTGCTACTCTTCACTGGAGGGTTGGTATATCGTTAGATAAAGATGATAACCTTGTGGAGCGACTCACCACTAGTGGTTTCCACAGCTCCGTTCGTTTCTTCCGTTTGCTCCATCTCGGCATCCGCCTGCTGAGCATCCTCCTCCAAGGCATTTTCGTTCGCCTCACGTTGTCTCTTTCGCTCTCGTTTCCTCTTCTTCTTGTCCGGCTCCACGTCTTGCTCGTCAGTATTCGGCACATTATCCTCGTGTTCGCGTATCTTTTCGCCGTTTCGTTTCTTCTTCTTCTTCTTCTTTTTGCCTTCCTCAGCTATACCGTCCTGTTGCGAATCTCCGAGCGATGTATTTTCGTTTTTTGTGTGCCCTTCTTTCTTTTCTCGTTTCTTCGTCTTATTATTGTCTTCGTCGACTGTTACATTAGTGTCGCCGTGTCCGTTACGTTCTCCGTTGATTTCTTTCTTCTTCTTTTTCTTCTCTTTACGATCTACTGAGCGCAAGGGAAATTAGCATACACTGAGTGAATCTGTAAGGAGTATTTACCAGCGTTGTTATCGGTCTTGTCCTTTCGATGTTCCCGCTTCCGCTTCAGATTTGCTCCAGCTGCCAAATTTTGGTTGCGCTCGATCTGGGAGTCGCCGATTTCGAGCGCCATTTTTGATCCTTTTGTAAGTTGATGGCGGGCGGAGACGAGTGGAGTCTCGGCCTCACGCTGCGCTGAAAAGTTATCGACTTCGAAATTAGAATCAAAATTATCGGAGTGAGATCGACGAACACGTGCACAGCGTTAGTCGCGTGTGTCGGGCAAGGCGGTTCCCACGGGGTATTTAGGCAATCGCACAACCATGATCGAGAGGTCGAAGACTCGAAAGACCATTTCCGCTCCACTTGTCAGATCAGAGGCTGCTGCATTTGGGTGGGGACATTAGGTCAAGAAACTCCGCATGAATATCGAGTGGGTACGTTGTATTAGATAAAGGAAATGTACTTCCGGTTGAGGAAGTTGTCCAGACTGTGGTCCGCTCCACAACGTCATAAAAATTGATATATCACTGATTCGCTTCTCTCCGTCGCCCCTTCTCTCGCTGCTGCCATCCCATCCGACGCCTCGATTCGGCCACCGTCCTTTCCTCGTTCTGTTTGTCTTCGCCTTTCACGTTCCTTCGTCTCTACCTATCGTCGCCGTTTCGCAGGTCTGGTCCGCGAAAATGAATCCGGAAGACGACTTTTTTAAAGCAGCTCCCCTTGCTCCTGCTGTCGATACAAGATCCGAAGACATCGGCCTCTTCGCACAAGCAATTGCTGGCCGGTTCAACAACCCAGAGAAGGCCCTGCTTACTGCCCGACTCTCGCCTACTAATGACCCAAGACCGTCCACACCACCTCAAAAATCTACTCCGCATCTTACACCAAATCCATCTCCATCAACACATCTTGCCAGCATGTCCATAGGCGGGCGCTCTAGATCTCCCCATCAGCCATTTGCTGCCGCATCGTCTTCCTCAGAGTTTACGGTAGCCACCGCGTCTACACTCCCCGACATCCTCCGCACTCCACACGTCCTTGTCCTGGATATCCGCCCGCATTCTGCTTACTCTACTTACCGCTTACCCCATGCAATCTCCTTATCTGTTCCATCCACACTCCTCAAGCGACCTGCGTTCACTTTGCAAAAACTTACTGCTATGCTTCCGTCTGCCTCTGCTCGTGCTCGATTCACGTCTTGGGATAGGGCATCCCGGATACTGGTTTACGATGCTGACTCCTCGGCTCTCACCGACGGATCCAACCTTTTAGGTTTGCTTCGTAAATTCCGGACCGCAGGATTTTCCGGAGACGTAGCTTGGTTGCAAGGCGGTATTCAATCATTGTGGAGGGATAATAGACACATTGTCGACGATAACGCCTTGTCGGAAGATGAGGAAGAAGGGGAGACCTCTGAACAGGTTCTTCGGGCGAGGAACCTTCCGCAGGCTGCCTTCCAACAGTCCTCAACCGCCTTCCGGGCGTCACCAACAATGATGTCGATGCAATTAGAACAATGCGTAAAGCCACAGGGTTCTACACAGTCGCCAAGCGCGTCGACCCTGAAACTTGCTGCAGCAAATCCATTCTATGACAACATTCGCCAAAACTTGGAACTCTCGCAAGGAATGACGGAGCGTATCCCACTTAACCTTTCCCCGACGATAGCTTCTCGTGCAAAGGAACTTCCTTTCGCTTGGCTGCGAAATATTGCTGCGGTTGCGGGACAGGACGAAAGCACCGAAGCTCTGGCAATGCAGTTCTATCGCATTGAGCTCGGCGAACAACGGAGGTTACAGGGGGTCATGGCACACCATTCGAAGCAAAGTGACGGTCTAGATAATTCGAAGCCGAGCGATGCAACATGTGAGAGTAGGAATGAGGCTAGACCCTTCCCATACAGCATAATCGCAGGCTTCGAGAAGGGGACAAAGAATAGGTTAGCGTTCGAACTGTATCCACAGGGCTATCGTTGACGCGAGTGTGTTTGTATTTCAGATACAAAAATATCTGGCCATTTGAGCACTCACGTGTTCGTCTGCATGGTCAAGAACAGGACGACGATTATGTCAATGCATCATTTGTGCAGCCGATAGGCACCCGTCGGAGATACATAGCGACGCAAGGTCCCTTACCTTCAACTTTCTCTGATTTCTGGTCGTAAGTTGAAACAATCTTATTCGAATTGCAGCAGCTCATAACTTTGTCAGCGTTGTATGGGAGCAAAACGTCAAAATTATCCTGATGTTGTCTAGGCAGTGCGAAGGTGGAGTGGTCAAGTGCGGGAAATACTGGGTTGATGGTCAATATGGTCCTATCCATATAAAATGCATTACGAGAAGTGGAGCGGCGGACGAAGAAGACCCGGGTGGTGGTAATGCGGATAGTTCGACTGGTGGATTCTTCAGCGCACCACCCAAGGATAACTCGGCTCTGTTTACCCCGGAAGACAAAGAGCATAATTTCACTATTCGCCGGCTCTTCGAGATTTCGCATGCTGATCATCCGGAACTGAAGCCTAGAGTTGTTACGCACGTGCAGTACCTTGGCTGGCCTGATATGGACGTACCTGTCAACCCGAAAAGTCTATTGCGCCTAATGTTCGAAGTCGATGACCTTGTAGATCAAACTGATGCACAAAATGACGTACCAGATAAACCATCTCCCGTGTTACTGCACTGCTCGGCTGGTGTTGGCCGTACTGGAGCTTTTATCATGATCGATGCCGTTCTTGATGGAATCAGACGGGAAATACGAAAGCGGGCGATGGCAAAGAGGCTCGCAAGTGCTACTGAAATCGTATCTGGAGACAGAAGTAGCGGGAGCGAAGACGAAGCTCACATTGATGGCGCAAGTCCTATGGATGTTGACTCAATGACTTCGGTTCGGGAGCGCAGTCTTGCATCGCCCGCGCGTGTACCGACACCGGAACTGTCTTTTCCGTCAAAAAGTAATATTCTCCCACCCACGTCTCAAGTTTCGTCTGTGTCTAATGCCCCAAGAACGTCAATGGACGATCAGATTCAATCAGGTCCAACTGCTACTTTACATATGGGTGGCGACTGTTCCGGTCATCATGAAATCCATGTCCCTCTCGTACCGTCAGATGAAGTACCAGCTCAGGCTCGGGCTCAGGCTTACCGGGACTCGAAGAATGTACCTGCGCAGCGTTTGAATTCTCCGTCCGCCAATCCAGCTTCACAGGGAAGACCCGCAAGACATCTTATACGCCATCGGCCCTTAACGTCGGACTTCACGATTGCTGATGCAGACTCTATGTTTATGAGCTCTAATCCGAATCCACAATTCGCGATGGATGTAGAGTCTTTGCGACCCTCACTTCAACGAGCGGTAAATAACAACAGCAGTTCAGGCGAGGGTAATGGAAGTGGTGGAGACCGAAATTCCGAGTCCATCAGTTCCGGGTCGGCTTCCGATGGGCGATTTACGGGTCCACTGCGAAAGGCGTTTGCTAGCTTGTCGTCTACGGATGACAGTCCAGACTCTCCAGAACGACCATCGGCTGCTCGATTCAGACACCGATTTGGGGGAAGTGGTGGAGCCGGCAGCGGAGAGAGTGCGGGTGGAAGTACCTCAGAGTCGAGTACTAAGTGCTCGAACGGTAGCGGCAGTGGAAACAATGGAGGTGGCTACACGTCATCTTCGTCCTTGGTTCTAGGAGGCTTCGCGGGTATGGCTGTCGGTTCGCCTGCGCCAGATTCCAGGCACACGTCTCCTGTTCCTCGACCTTCGCTGCCCCTTGCAAATCGTGGACGTCATAGGAGTCCGCGAAACTTGCCAGTGCAGAAGCCTAGTCTTTTGGCACCGAAGCCACTGCACCTGAAACTGCAAATGCCGGAATTGACCGAAGGGGTTGAGACGACTATTCAGTCCGCTCCAGGTACGCTTCCCACGTTTGGCGAGCCTTCGAATATACCAGGCCGTTCTGGTATGTCGTCAACCTCCTCGTATGCTTCGACCTCGACGGATACGTCTTCCTCACTCCGTTCGACGTCGCTTTCTGGGAACACTACGGATGATACGCCAGCGTCTATGCACAAGGACTCGAGGTCCCCGTCAGCAGACAAGGACCGTGGGATGAAGCTCGACCTCAGTGTGATCGACTATACAGAACCGCGAGAGTTGAACGGCGACGATTCGCCACCAGTCCTTTCCTCACTGGAAGAACCTTTAAGGCAGATATTGGAAGATATGCGGAAGCAGCGGATGAGTCTTTGTCAAAGCTTACGACAATACGTCTTCGTGCATACCGCGATTATCGAGGGTGCGTTGGTCGTTGCGGAGGAAGAACGAAAGCGTCTGGGTGTTGACAGCAAAGACCTCTTCGATCGCGATTCGCCGACTGCACAGGATGCAATGCACATGTTGCAGGCCATTACGACTACGATACAGACGACGGGTAAACGCGGTGCGAGTCCTACGGAGCTTGCGAAGGAGGATAAGAAGGGGAACGAAGCGCTTGCGAAGAGGCCTAGCGTTAAGCGCGGAAAGAGTGAGAGTGAGAGTCAGTTGTCTGTCAGTCCTGTTTGATGTGAGATATGTTGTGAGATTGTTTTGGTGCGGATGTGGATATGCGTAAGATTTTCTTTCGTTCAGCTTTGCACGCTGCATCCTTTTTACCGTTTTTCCTATTTTTTTAACTTTCTTGCGAGGAACTGGAGCTTTTTTTGTTTCTTGTATTTAGTCGGCTTGTTAGTCGTTGGTGTTTGCTTTCCCTGCCTGTGGTGGTTATGCAGTGGATCTCATTTTAGTATTTTGTTTCCCGTACTTCCTTCCTACGTCTTTACCATTTTTTTTCTTTATTCGCATGCCTCCGTTATTCTGTTGTTTTTGTTTTCGTTTTCATTCTCACATCCTATTCTCTTGCTTGTTTTGTATTGTCTCATCTCGTTTTTGTTTCTTCCTATCTCTGAGCACTCATCAATGTATGCATTCCACAACTCAAGTCATGTTTTACATCATGCTATCAATAGTATCGTATCCATATCATGTTGCATCATCATGTCGTATTGTATTGTATCGTATCATATCATATGTATCGTGTTATATCAAATCAAAACAAATTGCCTGGACTACACTATACCTCAGCTTTTATATCTGGCACAATGTAAGTAATATATTGTTGGATTTTTAGTGAGTTTACTTTATATAGATAGGATCCAATTCTTGTATCTCTCTATCTTCTTGGACTTTACCCATTTTAATCCTTTTTTTTATTTTTTTTATTTTTTTAGTGTTTTCCCTTGTTTCCTTGTCCTGTAATTTTTTTCTATTACTAGTACTGATTATATAAATATACACATCTCTCATGTGAGTGGAATCTCTAAATAGTGGCACTTTAGGCAATTCAGCTACAGTAGAAAATGTCTTATTACATTACATTATAATGCAAATATATAGTATATTGTATTAACTTTTGGTCAGACCAAAACTCAAATTCTTGGCCAAAATGTATTGTCATAATGTATTGGGTTTAACTCTCTCTCTCAATGTTATGTAATAAGACATTTTCAACTATATATATATATTGTTTGTATCAGATCAGAGTCTCAAAAATTGACTTCCAATATATTCATTGTGAGTAGAATTATTGATCCTAGTCTCTAGAAACATTTGACAAAGTACTAGAAAGTAGAGTAAGAAACAACTTGGTAGAATTTAAAGAATGTTTAGTTATAGAGAAATAAGTACTTTGTCTATTCTAAAGACTTGTACTTCCGAGTCATCACCTTCACAGTCATTGTTTGTTTCACCTTCTCATACTCTTGCCTGAAATACCTATGCGTGTCGAAACTCCAGATGATGTACCCATAAAGCCATTGCTCCATTCCATGTATGTACGAGCAAATGGCATTGTCAGCCTCTGGACCGAATGAACGAATGTTCCGTTTACACGAGTTGACGGTCTCTATGTGCTTCTTGAAATGGTCTGCAACGAATTCGACAGCCTCTTGCATCGAAACGCCTTTTTCCTGCTTGATAGCTGTAACAGCATTGATTTGGTCAATGCCTCGGGCGTATTCCATGGGGTATGAATATACATCCTTATAAGATTATGAAGTTAGATCACAATGTGTAAATGAAGATATGCAATAAAGTTATATCATACATTAGCCAAGCATATCAGGTCATTCATGGAACAGCATATGTTCTGGAAGTTTGGATCTTCAAAAACGTCTGGAGGGAGTGTTATTCGAAGTACAGTGTTGAGAGGAGTTATGTGAGAGGCTTAGAGGGATCACACAAAGAGGGGGGATAGTGGACTCGGCTTGCTCTCCTTAGCATCATTGTCTGTTGATTCAGTAGGTATATATAATATGTAGCTATGTCTCAGGTATGTCTGTTGCTTATATGTGTCATTCCATATATGTTAACACACCCCTTCAAACATATATTAGTTTAATAATATGTTTGTTTTGTGACTATTTGTTTATTTGATTTGTAGTTATTTTATTTTTATTTTTAGGGGTAGTTATAGTGCTGCTACCACTCCCCTTCAAACATTTATAAGTTGGCCAGACCTATAAGATGTTTGATTTGCAGATTGTTCCAACATTTTTATTAGTATTGTATCTGCATTGTACATTGTGTCTGTATTATATTTGCTTGTGTATTACATATAATAATATCATTTGTATAATATAAATGTGTTGTTTGTATTGTATATTTTGGTCCACTGTGTGTTAACTTCATACTTTGTTAGATATTTATTAAGTTTTCGTTTGCTGTTGTGTCATTAGTTCTGTAGTTTGTTCATCATTATATTATTAAGTTGTTGTTCATTGTCTTGTAGACTGTTTAACATGATTGAAATTGTTCAGAGTTAATCTGAGGTTTGTACATAGTTTACTGTTTAATGACAGTATTGTTTTCACAATAAATCGTTCGAAATCGTTATTAATATCATATGTGCTTCAGAGACCTGCAGAATCTTATGAGTGCTGCATAAGATTGTAAATCGTGTGTTTTATTTATTAAATTTGCTCAAGTATTACTAGTAATTTCTTTTTACTTTACTGTGAAACTAATGAATCATGCTAGTAAAATGTATATCCAGTGTTGTAATGA